CTGTGATCAGGGATTATCATTCACTGAAAGCTAAGCTGATGATTAAGCATTTTGTAGCAAGAAAGAATTTTTTAAGTTAAGGTACGTACACTGTTTTTTCAAGAGAAAATGCTCTTGCACACTTACTAAATTATGCTATAGTGTGAACATAGCTTTCACGTGCACTGGGAAACCGAAAACTTAATTTGACTCTCCTTACCCCAGCTTTTGCTGCACTGCAGAGGTCTGGAACTGAACGTGCAGTACCTCTGAAGTATGCCCATATCTCAGGATCCTGTTTCTGTTTAGCAAATGCAGATCTCCTCTCCCACGAATCGAAGCGTCACTGCTGTGCGGTTAAAGATGTCAGCTGCTACCACTCCTTCCCGTCTTTTGTCCTGCCTACCTTCCCCTGCTGACCTCTGAGAACTCGAACTTGAGCTCTCCTGAAGTGGACTCCATCTTTTGCCCTTTACCCCAATGCTGCTGGAAAACCGCCCATGAGCTAAGATACTTAAATGGAACAGAATTCAGCTACAGAAAATTTTTCTAAGTAAGCAGACGCTAATGATTCATCCATCGTGTTTACGAAGCATCAGAATCTGGAGGGAGGTAACCTAAGTCAAGCACGGTATCATACTATTTTCATGCACCAACTTGTGTTTGCGTGCACTTGGTAATTCAAATACAAATAAATATTCGGAAAAATAAATAATTTAAAAATTAGGTACAATTTCAATAGAACAATAAAGCTTATGCTGAAATAGACCCAAACTCAGAAAACTGGTCCCTCGCCCTTGAAATACAAGTGGAACTAATGTCAGCTCAAGGCACCACACACGGACACAACCTGTGCCCTGAACACGTTGACCTGTCCGTGAAAACATGCACAGAAGTAGATCCTCAGGAAAACTGGGGACCAAAACAAAGCACAACAACATCTTGGTGATTTTTATCATGATGAAAGGGTCAATTCCACAAGACGTAACAATTATAAATATGAACGTGTACACCTAACCACAGAGCCTGGGAAGAAGAGATGCAAAACCCAACAGATCTGCCTAAAGAAACAGAAAATGGCCCACCTCCAGTCATGAGCGGAACAGGTGGACAGAAGACTACCAAGAAACAGAAGGCCCAACAGGCGTCTACACAGCAACAAAATCTGAACCCGCAATCCTCTCCATGCAGGTGGGACAGGCTCTATGACAGGCCAGGTGCTCGGCCATAAGACATGCCTCAATATATTTAAAAATTAAAAACAGAATTTTATAAAGTGTGTTCTCTGACCACAATGGAACGAAACTAAAACTCAAGAGCAAAAGGAAATTTGGGAAGTACACAAATATGGGAAACTGAACAAGCTTGTAAATAACCAACAGGTCGAAGAAAAAAGTTGTAAAAGAAATCGGATATAACCTGAGACAGATTAAGATAAAAATATATGAGATATAGCTCTTACAAAGAAATTTACAGATGTAGGGGTGCCTGGGTGGCTCGGTGGGTTAAAGCCTCTGCCTTCGGCTCAGGTCATGATCCCAGGGTCCTGGGATCGAGTCTCACATTGGGCTCTCTGCTCAGCAGCGAGCCTGCTTCCTCTCTCTCTCTGACTGCCTCTCTGCCTACTTGTGATCTCTGTCTGTCCAATAAAAAAAAAAAAAAAAAAAAACTTTAAAAAAAGAAATTTATAGATATAAATACCTACATTTAAAAAAACTCTTTCAGTAATAACCAGAACTTTCAGTTTCTTAAGAACTAGAAAAAAGAGCAAACTAAATACAAATGGATAAGAAGGATAAATAAGGATCACAGCAGAAATAGAGAACAGAAAATGAACAGGGAAAGAAAAAAAAATCAATGAATCCAAAAGCTGGTTCTCTGAGATCAAAACCCTGACAAATCTTAAGCTGGAACAACCAAAATACAGACTGAAATTACTAAAATCAGGAACAAAGAGGAAACATTCCTACCAACCTCACATAAATAAAAAGGGATCGTAAGGGAGTACTATGAATAACTATGCCAACACATCAGGCTGCCCGGGCCAAGTGGACAAATTCCGGGAAAGACACAAACTACTGAAACTGACCCGAGAAGAAGTAAACCATCTAAACAGTCCTGTAACAACAAGCAGAGACTGGATGAGTCATCAAAAAACTTCCCACAACGAAAAAAAAGCCCAGGACCAGAGGGCTTCACTGGTGAATTCTACCAAATATTTAAAGAAAAATTAACACCAGTCCTTTGCAAACTTTTCCCCAAAATAACAAAAAACAAACATAAGAGAAAGGAACACCTCTCAACTCACTCTGTGAGGCAAGTGTTAACCTGATACCAAAATCAGGCAAAGGCATCACAAGAAAAAAGAAAACTACAGCCCAACAAGCCTTATCAACATAGAAAGAGAAGTCCCTAACAGAACATGAGGAAGCCAAGCTCACAACACAGAGAGAGGATATACCATAAGCAGGTGGGATCTATCCCAGAAATGAAAAGTTGGTTTAAAATAAAACAAAATCAGGGGCACCTGGGTGGCTCTGTCGGGTAAGTGCCTGACTCTTGATTTCGGCTCAGGTCATGACCTCAAGGTTGTGAGATTAAGCCCCCCCGCTGGGCTCCATACTGAGCTTGGAATCTGCTTGAGATTCTCTCTCCCTCTCCCTCTGCCTCTCCCCCACAACGTGTGTGCAGCTGATCTCAGAAAAAAATTAAAAAATTAAAATAAAACAAAATTAAGCACCATAATAAACTATAGCAGTAAGATAAAGAACAAAAACCTCAACAGATGCAGACAAAGCACTTGATGAAATCTAACAGTTTCCATGATAAAAACATTAAACCAGCTGGGAATAAGTACAGGGACATTCCTCCCCCGGAAGAAGAGTAACTATGGAGAACCATACTTCACACTCGCTGGTGAGAGACGGACAGCCTTCCACCTGAAATCGGAAATGAGACACAGAGGTCTGCCCTCCACGACTACTCAGCATTGTATCAGAGTAGCTGCGTAAGAAAAAGAAAGAAAGGCAACCTGACTAGACAGAAAAAAGTAAAACTATTTATTTTCAGATGACATGATCCTGTATAAACAAAGTCCTAAAAAAATATATCACACAAAAAAAACATCAGAACGGGGGAACCTGGGTGGCTCGACGGTGAAGCCACTGCCTTTGGTTCAGGTCGGGATCCTGGAGTCCCAGGATCGAGTCCTGCATTGGGCTCCCAGCTCCGCGGGGAGTCTGCTTCTCCCCTCTCATGCTCTCTCGCTCTCTCACTCTCTCTCTCAAATAAATAAATAAAATCTTAAAAAAAAAAATCAGAACTAATAAATGAGTTCAGCTCAGGTCACAGGATATAAAATCAATATAAAAAAAAATCAACCAGGGGCACCTGGGTGGCTCAGTGGGTTAAAGCCTCTGCCCTCAGCTCAGGTCATGATCCCAAGGTCCTGAGATCGAGCCCCACATCGGGCTCTCTGCTCAGCAGGGAGCCTGCTTCCCCCTCTCTCTCTGCCTCCCTCTCTGCCTACTTGTGATCTCTGTCAAATAAATAAATAAAACCTTTTTTTAAAAAAATCAACCATATTTCTACATACTTGCTGTTTACAACGCATGAATGGAATTAAAAAAACAATTCCCCTTAAATAGCATCAAAAATAAAGTACTCAGAATGAACAGAACTAAAGCTAGGTACGACTTGCATACGAACATACTACAGAGCTTTACTGAGGAAATGAATAAGGCCTAAGTAAGGGGAAAGATACCCCTCCACATGGACTGGAAAACTTAATCTAGTTAAAACAGCAGTATTTCTCAGAGTCATCTATGGAGCCATGTACTGTCTACCAAAATTCTAGCTGTTCCTCTGAACAAACTGAAAAGCTGATCCTAAAATTAATATGTAACACAAGAGACCCAGAACAGCCCAAAAAAATCCTGAAAAAGAGGAGCAAAGTTGGAAGACCTACAGTTTACAGTCACCGAGACAGTGAGGTACTGGCATGAGAGAAAACGTAAGGCAAACAACAAAATCAAAACATGAAACATCAAAACCCCGAGCAGAGCTTCAGGGACCTGTGGCGCAACAACAGAAGACGAAGGTTTGTGTCACCAGACTACAGAGACTGCTCCGGGGGCCCTGCGGCCTCCCACACATGCACACAGGCCATGCAGACAAAAGCACAACAGCCTGTGATCCTCCCAGAACCCAAGGACAGGCAGCCTGACCTCTGAGGAGGTCTCCTTCCTGCCCCGGGGGCGGCTGCTAGGGACAGTCGGATGAGATGTCCTTCTGATGAGATTCGGAGATGTCTGCCCACCTCCTCAGAATGTAAAACCACTTCAAGTAACGGGGCATCTTCCTACAGTCATCATCCCAGTCTTCCGGTCCCTTGTCAGCATGTGGGACGAGGATGAAGGCTTCTCCTTTTCCCCGTCCACAGAAGTAACAAACTGTCTAAATCTAACAGTGGCTTGTTGTGTTTCTACTGATTACAGTCAGCCTCAGCCTTGGCCTTCTGTGGCCTGACACAGAGGCCGCAAAAGAGAAGCTGAAAAAGGATTCAAACAAATAGTGGCTGGCCTGGATGGCTCAGTGGGTTAAAGCCTCTGCCTTCGGCCCAGGTCATGATCCCAGAGTCCTGGGATCGAGCCCAGCATCGGGGTCTCTGCTCAGCAGGGAGCCTGCTTCCCCCTCTCTCTTTGCCTGCCTCTCTGCCTACTTGTGATCTCTATCTGTCAAATACATAAATAAAATCTTTAAAAACAATAAAAAAATTAAAAACCACTTTCAAACAAATAGTGGCTGGAAACTCCCCAAATCTGGCAACATACACCTACAGATTCAAGAAGTCTAGAGAACCCAGAGAGGATATACCCAAAGAATTCCACACCAAGACATCATAATTAAACTTCTGAAAGGACAAAGAAAAATCTTAAATAAGCAAGGAGAGAGGCATTCAAATCTCTAACTTCAAATTTCTAACTTCTAATTTCAGGCAAAATTTCTAACAAGAAACTTACGGCCATTCAGATTCGGGCTGCTTTTGGTGAGCTTCGATGACATCGATGGCAATGTTCAAATTTTCCTCCAGTTCTTTCATTCTCTCAGAATTCAGGGATGTGAACAAAATCATTGATGAGTAGGCAACAATTTTTTTGTCTGGATGATTTAAGCAAGACCTTCCAAACAAAGAAATGAGAGTGTGAGCCCATTCAGCAATATGGTAAAATATGATTATGACGCATACATAATAATCATCCCATTAACAAATTCAGTGCCTACTGATGTTTTTAAGGATTTAATGAAGTACAACACTTTGAAACAAATATGCTATTTGCTGGAAAAACAGCAACGTAAAACAAGTCACAGCACAAAGCATCCAATATTAAAGATGCAGCTGACATACAACTCAAAAGCAAATACCATCTGATTAAAGAGAAAGATAATATGATTACATTTATAAAAGATTAAAATGTTGACTCTTGTTAGAAAAAAAAAATCAAAGGCAAAACAGGCTAGGTCATTATTGACAGGAATTCCTTCACTAGTTACGAGGGAAAGAATATTCAGAGGAAAGATGGTATCCTGACAAGAGAGAGAGAGAGAATGTGGAGGCAGGAGCGTCAGTGGGAGTCCTGCTCCACTTCCCCTACCAGCTGTGCGACCTCAGCAAGGTCACTGATTTATCGACCGTCAGTAACATTATGGGTCATGCACTATGGCAGGATTTTTTTTTTTTTTTTTCAGTGCAACTTCATAAGACTCTTCTGGAGCAGATATCATCCTTCTATTATAGACAAGGACTGTGGTGACTTTACATGCCCGAGGGCACAAAGCCAGTGTCTTCCAAAGCTGGAATTCAAATTTGGTTATATTTGTCTCAAAGATACACACGGAGTATCTTAGATGCATATATACATGCATAGTATACTATACAGAGTGAAGTCAACCTCTTTCCGTGTGTTTTCTGATACAAAAATGGAATACAATGACCTCCTTGGACTATCTCACCAGGCTTCAGAGAGGATCAAATTTGACACCGTCAGTAAAACCACCCTGTAAGCTGTCTTGACTTCTCCAAGGACCCTACTGAAGGGTCTTCTCCTCTGCTCCTTCTACCTAAGCTTAATTATCACTAATTGTAACGATTTTAGGCCTCCAACTCTAACTATTGGCAGGAATCTGAGGGCCAGTTACAGACTCGGTGAATCATACCTGTTTCTATCTAGTTGATCTGATCTGAACATCACCCTTTCCACACAGCCCAGAACACTCTACCAGCAGGGAAGGCGGCAGAGATTTTAGGCAGCTGCTGTCTGAACAGGTGCAGCATTTGCATCCAGAGAGCAGCTCGGCCATCTATCAGCAGTGTCAGCTTCCCCGCCTGTCCCAAAGCGGACAGCGCCACCTGCCCTGCAGGGCTGCTGACCAGGACAGAGAACGCCCAGCCCGGGGCACATGGACAACAACTCCCACGCTACAGCTTACACTGTTGCCACAACCAAAGACACCCCACTTGCTGGTAACCGAGCCTGGATGAGAAGCCAGGCCTCCCACCTCAGTGCCCCTCCTATTACCTATTCTTCCTCTGCCACCTGCTCACCTTTTATCTCCGTGCTCAACTTCTCACGAACCAACAGAGCTGGTCAAAACAAACAGTAATCCCCAGGAAAAGCACCATGAACCAATCCAGACCAACAGATTGGTTGTCCACGTCTTACAGCTCTCCAGATCTACCAAAACATAAGGCCCTGGGCCACGTATAAAAGAAGTGCTTGGCAGGGACGCCCAGGTGGCACAGTCGGTTAAGCGTCTGACTCTTGACTTTGGCTGAGGTCAGGTCAGGGTCGTGAGTTCAAGCTCCACACTGGGCTCCATGCTGGGCGCGGAGCCTGCTTGAGATTGTCTCTCCCTCGCCCCCAGCCCTCCACCCCATTTTTTCTCCCTCTCCCCTTACCCTTCCCCCAATAAAAGTAAGTGCTCACTAAATAAAGAAATGACTATTCATTGCCCATACTTCAGTGGTTTATGGCTTTTTTATTATATATTTGTTTTTCTTACCAATTATAATAAACCTAGTACTTCTTAATCAAAATTTCTATTTTCTTAAGATACAACTGACATGCAACAAAGGGCGTAAATCTTAAGTGGACAGCCCCCAAAATTATTACATACGGATACACTTCTATAACTACCAGCCAGATCAAGACATGAAACATTCCCAGAACCCCAGGAGACTCCCCCATGACCTCTCCCAGCTCCTCCTGAACCTGCCACCAATCACAAACCACCACCACTATCCTGAATTCTATTATTAAAGGTTAGTTTTTCCTGTTTTTGAACTTCATGTAAATGGAATGATATAAACACAGTCTTTTCAGAAGTCAGAAAACTTTTTATCAATATACTCACAAAAAGAGTTCTGGGAAGGCATGCACCCAAACAATGGACTGGGAATCTTCATTCCTCGAGGCAATGTTGCCTAGAAACTGCAGGCCACAGCGAAAAGCTGAGGATTTATAAAAAGTAAGAAAAGATACAATTTAAACATTTTTTGACATACTGAATAAACATATCTTAATAAAAAGAAAACATTCCAGATTATTAAACAGGAAGTTTTTGTTAGCTTCTTTTGCCTATATAAAGTCTCTCACCACAGTGAAACTTTGGGCACAAACTTAATATTAAAATGCCTTACCAAAACAATGTACACTAGACAAAATAATTAACTTCTTAAAAAGACTGTAAATGTACACAAAATATACCTCCAATTTACATTAAATATCACTGGATTGTGTGTTCCGATCGAGAGAGCTACTCTTAGAGTGGATTTTGTAAAATCAAACAATGCTATTTCAAACATACATCTAAAACATAAGACAATAGTAATATTTAAAGTTAAAAAATAGTAAAAAATATATTAGGCAAAACCAGCCTAAAAAGGAAGCCATACATCACTTAAAATGGGATGTAATAAACATTAAGGCAAAAAGCATTATTGGAGATTATTATTAAAAGTCATTTCAGGGGTGCCTCGCTGGCTGTCAGTGGAGCATGCAACTCTTGATCTCAAAGGCTGTGAGTTTGAGCCCCACATTGGGTACGGATATTACTAAAGAAGATATACTTTAAAAAAAAAAAAGGCCATTTCAGAATGACTTAATTCACCAGGAAGATATAACAATTTTAAATTACAATCATCTAATAATATGGACTCATATATGTATATATATGGAAAACTGACAAAAGCACAGAAGAAAGAAAAAAATCCACCATTAAATTTAGCAGTAGTTACACATCTTTCTGGGTAACTTATAAAACAAGCAGACAAAAGATTAGTATACTTAGAAAACTTTAATAGCATTTAATAACAACCTAGTCGATAGATACAGAATATTTCACCAAATAAAAGTGCAGAATATTGGACAAAACCCAGGATGCTGACAGCACCTGGGATGTGGAACAACAGGAATGCCTGTCCATGGCTGGTGGAAGGGCACAGCCACCATGGAGGACAGTGTACTCAGTGGTCTCTTATAAAACTAAACATACTCTCAATGTATAATCCAATAATCACAATCCTGGGTATTTACCCAAGTAACCAAAAACTTATGTCCACACAAAACCCTGTACGTTTATGTTTATAGCAGCTTTATTCATAATTGCCAAATGAAAGCAACCAAGATGTCCTTCCATAGGTGAACAGATAAACATGCTATGGTCCAAGGAGACAATGAAATACTATTCAGCACTGAAAACAAATAAGCATCAAACCATGAACGGACATGGAGGACACTTACACGCACATTACCAAGTGAAAGACGTCAATGAAAATGCCACATACTATATGATTCCAACTATGACATTGTGAAGAAGGCAAAACTAGGGAGACATTGCGAAGATCCATGGTTGCCTGGAATGAAGGCAGGGATAGTGAAAAGGCAGAGCACAGGGAACTTGAGGGCAGTGAAACTACTCTGTGTGACACTATGATGGTGAAAACATATCATGGAGAGTCATGGGAGCAAGAAGCAGAGGGAGAAGCAGGCTCCCTGATGAGCAAGGAGCCCGATGCAGGACTTAATCCCAGGACACTGGGATCATGACCTGAGCAAAGGCAGATGCTTAACCAACTGAGCCACCCAGGTTCCCTCAACATATTTTTAAAAACTGACATACAGATAATGCTCACTTACTGCATCACAATTATGTTTACATATAATTACTTGCAGGAAATAAGCCCCAAAAATGAATAGAAAATCCCCACATATTTAAAAGTAGAAGACAGACCCTAAATAACCTATAGGGGCAGAAAAGAAATCACAATGGATATACAATATTCAATCAACAAAGATGCCAGAAGCCAAAGCTTCTAGCAGCTAACACAGTACCCAGAGGAATATTCATAGCTTTCAAATACATACTTTGAAAAAAATAAATAAAAATTAAAAAAATAAAAGACATACTTTGGGAAAGAAGAATGAAGAAAATAAATAAGCTAAGCATTTGCTTCAAGAAATTATAGAAAGAATAATAAAACAACCCGAAAAAGTAAAGGAAGAAAAAAAGATTAAGAGCAAGAAATTATTAAAATTGAAAGCAGTCATAAAAAGAGAACATCAAGATCCAAGATGTGACTCTTCAAAAAGCTCAATATTGACTAACCTTTGGGAAAACTAATCAAAAAGGAGAAAAGCCACGAAGAATAAAGACATTAAATTTTCAGAAATAACAGGACACAGCCATGTATCTTGCAGACACCAAAAAAGAAAGTCAGAAGATACTACAAATACCTTTAGGCCACACTGTTTGAAAATTTAAATTAAATGAACAAAACCCTAGAATACGGCTAAGAAAAAGCACCTCTGTAAAAAATTCAGGGAACGCCTGCAGTCTTATACCATTAAGGTCTTCAAATCAGCAATCAGAAATTTTCCCACAAAGAAAAAAAAAAAAATCCTAGACCCAGGCAGCTTTATTACCTATTCACATTCAAGGAGGAAATAATTCCAATTTACACAGCTCTTCCAAAGGACAGAAGAGAGAGCAGACCCTCAAACCAGCTTGGTGAGGCTCGCTTAACAGCAGGAAAAAGGAAGAGAACAGAATATAAAAAATACTGAAAATATATTTCAAATTGAATCCAGTCATATAGAGAATGACAAAGCTGTGAACTTACAGCTGTACTGCAAGCTGCTTTACTATCACAAAGTCAAAATTTGTAACCGACCACATTGACTTACGAAGGACAGAAACATACGAAAATCTCAAATACCGCAGGGAACATAGAGATGGTGAAATTCAACACCCATTCGTTCTCAAACAACAAACAAAACAAAACAACTACCAGCCACCAAAGATTACCAGAGGGCTTCTTTAACCTAAAAATGGGCAGCCACAAAAAATCGAGAGCACGTTCTAATTCATAGCCAACTGGAGAGCGAGCGCCTTCTGGAAGGGAAGGAGACAGAAATACCTGCTATCACCATTGACATTCTCCGGAAAATCCAGGCCGGTAAGACTAAGGATGGCCAAACACTAGAAAAGAAGACACTAAACTTTTTTTCCCCTCACAGGTGAAGTGTCATTTCTACTGTACATGGAAAGTATTTTTAAGTATGTAAGTTGTTTGAATTAGTAAGAGTCACCAAAGTTGCTGCATACGAAGTCAGTATTTTAAAAAGTCAACAGGGCACCTGGTGGCTCGGTGAGTCAAGCATCTGAGTTGGACTCCGGTCATGATCTCAGGATCCTGGGATGAGGCCCTATGTTGGGTTCCCCACTCAGCAGGGAGTCTGCTTCTCCCTCTCCCTTTGCCCCTCCCCCTACTCAGGCATGTGTACACTCTCTCTCAGATCAATATGTAAAATCCTTTGAAAAATGAATAAAAATAAATTTTTAAATTAGAGTCAGTATTTCCATATACAGAGAGAACAAGCAAAAAAAAAAAAAAAAAAAAAAGGAAAGGAGACCATGTATGAAAGCATCAAAAATACAGCTATAAGTGATGTACAGTGCCACTAAGCAAAAAAATTCTAAAACTTGACTGAGTGAGGAATCACACCATGATCACAGAGTAGAGGAATCCACTTTTCTCTAGAGAGTAAGTGCAATCTGAGTCTGAATCCCAACAGGGTTTGTATGTGTGCGTGTGCGCACACACATATGTGTACGTGCATATGTGTAATTTTACACAATCAGAGGTTGCATATGTTTGTGTGGGTGTCTGTGTAACTTGACAAGATAACTCTAAATCTGCCACTATCCAGAGGGCCAACAGCAGAGAAGCTGTTGAAAATCATTAGGTAAGAGGATTTGTTTTCACAAAACAGTAAGCAAGTGTACGTAACACTATGGTACTGGGGCAGGAGTAGATAAACAGACCAACAGAAAAGAACAGGAAAGAGACTCAAACCGAAACTGGCGAGAGATGTGACAACAGATTATTGAGCGCAAAATGGTCTTTTCAAAAAATAACACTGGGACGATTGGGTACCAGTACGGAAAAATGGAAATTGGACTCCTTCCTCATACAACACAGAAACTCAATTCCAAGTACTAACCTAAATTGAAAAAAGTAAAAATAGAAAGCTTTTAGGAAACAACACTACAAAATAAAAAGACATTTTAAACAAGACACACAAAATAATACCAGAGAAAAACATTAACAAACTAAACTTTAATGTTAAAACACTTGGGTGCCTGGGCGGCTCAGTGGGTTAAGTGTCTGCCTTTAGCTCAGGTCATGATCCTGGAGTCATGGGATCGAATCCCACATTGGGCTCCATGCTCAGTGGGGAGTCTGCTTCTCCCTCTCCCTCTACTCTTCCCCTCACCACTTGTGTGCTCTTTCTCGCTCTCTCTCAAATAAATCTTAAAAAAAAAAAACACCTAAGAACACTTTTTTTTTTTTCTCAAAAGATATCCTAAAGAGTATTTTAAAAACACTATCCACAGAACGGGAAGAGAGACAAACACATAACAGGTACACGTAGGTACCACAGGATTTATCCAAAGATTCAAAAAGCTTTTATAAATCAGTCAACAAGACAAATTCAATAGAAAAATGGCAAGTTCAGCCTCCTCTGTCCATAGGGGCCTCACGGAAGGTATGCAGGTACTTGGTTCCCGGCGACTCCCCGGGCCGGTTTCGGTAGCATGTGGTCTCCTGTGGCGAGATAACAGGGATGAGCTCCTGCAGGGTGTGACCAACTGGAGGTCTCCAGCAGCCAATAACTTCCTCAGGACGCTTCAAAGCAACCTCCCCAGCACCCCAGGGACGGATTTCCAGCAAGTTCCGCCAACACGGCCACTCAGTGACTTCTCCATGTGACAAGTGAGCCATGACCAGGCCATCTCCAAAAAGAGCTGGATCTCAGATCCAGGAAGGGGGAGTCTCTCCCTTGGACACTCATCTCAGCCCAAGGGGTACTGGCTGCCCAGAGTGTCTACAATTCCTGTATGCTCCGGCATTGTCCGTACTTCTTAGTAGTCAACCCCGTTACTTCA